ATCTCAAAAAGGAAGAGAAGAAAAAATGTGTACTATGTAACACCATTAATGCTTCGTGGCCCCTGCTTTGTTGCTTTTTCCTCTTTGGTAAATCAAATCAAAAGTAAACAAAATTTCTTAGTCACAACTACTAACAGATGACAACTTCTTGTTCAAATTTGTGCATTGTGASAGGTAAATACTATCCGAAAGTGAGGTTTCTTTGGATTTTGCATGAATCAACTAACCACCATACTAAGATCAATCTCAAAATTATCCGATATGATTCGATTWAGCAAAACAAAAGAGCTGAGAAGGTAAAAAGACTGTCTCCAAAACTTGTGCAGAAGTAAATAAAATCTCGAACAAAAAAGGAACAAAGGATAGATAGGCCGACTTTTGCAACATCGGTGGGATTTGGTCCGTAAAACAAAACTAACATCCAAAAGAAACGAAAGTGCGGGAGCTACGAGAATATCGCTATTCATTCCTCCTCAACGATCTTGCTCTTCTCACTAACATAGATACCATCAAGAAACTTCCTGATATCCTTCTTCTTCACGTGACATTTCTGCACATCACAAAAAAAAAGACAATAGCGATTACAATAAGGCCACCGATGAATCAAGGCAGTTTCAGTATGCACAATATGATAACGAATTCAAACATCAACCAAGAAAATACTTATTGATACAATTGCTCAAGCTTTTTGTCTAAATGGAAAGAAGACCAACAATATGCAAACTAAACCACGATAACTATATTGTAGGAGTCTATGAAAGAGCCGGATACGACTACTGGATAATTTCAGAACATAAAAAACTAGTCAGAAGAATCAAATGTTATATAAAAATTAAACATCAACCAAAAAACCAAGTACAACTACTCAATCGAAATGCAAACTGTACGATGCATATTGTAGAAGTCTATGAGAGACCCATAAAAACTATACACAAGTGCATCTTCACAAAGATTTCATATCACTGAACATGAATTTGGTATCGTCTAGTTAGAGATTACCTGGTTGATCAGAGCACACGACCTTGAAACGAGCTCGATATCGTTACCATCAAGAACAATCTCATCCTTAACCTTCTCAGATCGAACAATGGTCACACCATCCAACAAATCTACCTTCCTCACCTGTTTTTCCAATAACCACATCGAAATGTAACTTCAACGATAGTATACACAATTTCTACAAGGATAGAGCTGAATCTAAAGGCAGACTATTTGATTCCGAGATCTATACAAAGCCAACACAATAAAATCAAATCAATAAGAACACAAACCTTCTTCTCGCCGAGGAAGTTACGGATCTCAATGGATCGACCATCACCGCCGATAGAAGCGTTGATTGGGAAATGAGCGTACACAAACCTCATCTTGTAACGGAAACCTCTGGTAACACCGGAGATGAGGTTATCGACGTGGCTAAGAGCGGTTCTAATGGAAGCGCTTGTTTTGCGAGTTCCGAACCATGAATCGATTTTGAGCTTCTTCTTACCAGTCTCCTCGTCTGTGATCAGCTGGAAATCGAGATTGAGATGCTTGAAATCGCGAACGAGTTTGCCTCGAGGTCCTTCGACTGTGATCACCTTAGCATGAACCTTGATGGTAACGGTATCAGGAATGTCCATCGTCTCCGAGGAAAGGATCGTCTTCA